TATAAATTCTTTCCACTTTTGTCTTTTGCTAGTTACAGATTTTTTTTTTAAATTCAGTACTTGATAGATTTTGCTGCCTTGTCTTCCATTGTCTTCTTGCTTACATTATTTTGAATAAGAAATCTGCTGTCATCTTTACCTTTGTTGTTCTATATATATATATATATATATATAGATAGATAGATAGATAGATACAGATAAAATAGAGATATAGATATATATATAACATGTGCTCTTTTTGCTTTGTTTTGTTTTGTTTGTCTTTTTGTTTTTCTTGGCTGCTAATATTAAACTTTTGTCTTTACCACTTGGTTTGGTCCTGAAAATTGAACCTAGGACCTTCACTTTTAGTCTCAGGCTCTGTCCCCTCCCCTTGTATTTTGAGACAGGGTCTTGTTAAGTTCCCAGGTGGACCAGGATGGGCTCTTCCTGGGTCAGCCTCCGAAGTGCTGGGATTGCAGGTATATGGTACCACACTTCGCTTATCACTGGCTTTTAGTAACATATGTGTTGGTATAGCTTTCTTCAAATTACTAGTATTTTAGCAGGATCAGTGGATTTAGTTTTCATCACATCTGCAAAAATGTCACCTATCATTTCTTCAAATGTCTTTTTCTGATTGTCTCATTCTAATACTACCTGTATTTTCTCTTTCACGTACTCCAATTATAAGCATTTAGACTATTTAAAGCTCATTCTTTTCTTTTTAAATTATTTTTTTCTCTCTATACCACATATAGAAAGTATCTGATAGTATCTTCTAATTCCCTACTCTTCTACAACATTTAATCTTCTGTTTTCCCAAGCAGTGTAATTTTCACTTTAGAGATTGTCATTTCTAGAAAATGGATTTATACTTACTTAGTATATTACTATTATAGTAACTTTTAATGTCTTAATCAACTAATTTATGTTAGTTGTGGGTCAGTTAAACTGATTAATTTTTCTCCTTATTATGGATCAGATTTCTTTCTTTCTTTCTTTCTTTCTTTCTTTCTTTCTTTCTTTCTTTCTTTCTTTCTTTCTTTCTTTGTAGTACCAGGGATAGAACTCAGGACCTTATACTTGCCAAGCAGGCGTTCATGCTGCTGAGCTATATCCCTGGCCCTTAGATTTCTTTTCTTTTTACTCCCTTCTTCTCTGTTCCCCTCCCCATTCTTTCCCTCCCCCCATTAAACTGGGTATTGAACCTAGGGTTTTACATGTTTTAAGCAACTACTCTACCAACTCTACCACTGAGCTATATCCCAACACTTATAAATTTTTGAGACAGGTCTTGGCTATATTGCTCATGCAGGTGTGAACTAGTGATCTTAAATAGCTGGATTTACATGTGAGCCACTATGCCCACCTATTATTTTCTGTTTCTTTTGATGCCTTCTGATGCTGAGTGTCAGTTATTTAATATTGACCATTGAATATCCTGACACTGTAAATGGATGCTGGATGTTTTTATTTTTCTATAAATGTATTTGAGTTTTAGTTTGAGATGGAATAAATTACCTAGAAATACTTCATCCTTACTTCTATGATTTTTTTTTTCAGCATCCAAACAGCATTTTTGTAGGGCTACTCCTTCCCCCTTACAAGACCCTTTGGAGTACTCTACCCCATTGAACTGGAGTTCTAGTCAGTCTGGTTGGAAAAGCTAGTATTCTTGGTCTGTTGTATGTCCAGTATCCTTTCTTCCAATGCTTTTTGATGGTTTATTCTTTCCTGGACTTGTTATAATTTCCTCACATGAATGCACAAAAGAGTACTGTCAGATTTTTAAAGTGGGCCCTCTGCACATCTCTGCAGTTCTCCATACAGTTAAACGTTTGCTTGTATTCTCTGCCTTATGAATTCTTGCTTTCTTGTTCTCCCTGAATTCATAGTTCTGTTTCCTCAATCCAGGGAGTCTATAAATTCTTTGAATGTAATAAGCTTGTGTAAACCTTGCTTATTTTTTCATTTCTAAGAAATCATTTTCCTTCCTAGCCTGATACTCAGTATCTTGTAAACTGTTGTTTTATATATTTTGTCTGGTTCTGTTTCCTTCTTTTGGTTGGTTCATGTGGGAGGGTCAGTCTGGTCCTTGTTACTCTGTCTTGGCAGAGTCAGAAATCCCCACAGAGCTCTACTCTTGATAGTCCCCTCACATTCTGAGGAGAGGAAAAGTTCTAAAGAGGCTATAACCCATGGCTTCTGGTGTAACCACAAATGAAGTGTGACTGTTGTTTAGTCTACCTACTTAGTACTTCTCAAATCTCCAGAACATTATAAAAGTTTGCTATGAGTAGTGATTTATAGATTATTTGGGCCAGACTTCAGGGCTCTAGGGCCTCCTTGAAATGTTCCAGTGACGTTTTCAAAACACAAGGGGCCATTGATAGATTGCAAATCAGTTTTCACTCTTACTTGGTAGTCATTCTAAAAACTTAGTTCTGCTTCTATTTGTGTCATCTAGGTAAGGTTACAGTTAAGGAAAATTTACTCTCTAAAGTCTTACTAGTATGTAGAGCTGTCTAATACAGTAAAGTTATTGTGATTTGAGGATTCATTTCAGGAACACTGCAAACCTCACTGTGTGATTCTTGTTAATCTTATTCTTGAGAATTTCTTTGAAAACAGAAAAGGAAACTTTCACTATCTTATTTTTATGAGAAAAATATCTTGAATTTTACTTATAGCAAGGGAGAAGGCTTAAAGAAAGTTGATTTATTATTGAAACTGTCCTATTAATCAGTTTTGAAACTGTCTTATTGCTATTTGTTTCTCAATGAAATAAAGTTAAATTTTAAAAAAAGAAAGTTGAAAATAATCACAGACTGATTCTTGTATTTTAAAGCATTATTGAGAATCTTTAACTTATCAGAATAATGGATGACAATGAGTTGGTACCCTATTTTATTTTTTTATCTCCACGAGTTGCAAAGATTTAGTCTTTCAAACAAGTCTTATGTAATAATTTATTTTCCCAGTTTTTGAACTAATTCTATATAATTACCAACCAAAGTTTCTGGTTAGAAAGAAGCATTGATGCCATTTCAGAACCATAATATTTCAGACAAAAATAGGGAATCTAACAAGATTGTAGGGAATCCAAAAAGCCTAATTACAGCAGAACATATGATTTTTTAGGTTTTCTGAGATGCTAACTTTTTTTATTTATTTTATTGAGAAATGAATACCAATGAGACAGTTTCAAAACCGATTAGTAGGACAGTTTCAATAATTAATACATTGCAAGTTGTTGTCTTTGTAATGGTTATTCATAGTACAAGAAGCAGACGTGATATTATTTTTTTT